AAGATGCCCTCTTCCATTATTTGTCCATCGTCCCAGAAACCCCCAGTACATCTAGTTCCATTTCTCTGTCCTTTTTCACCAACGAGGAGAGATGGTCTAATGAAGGAGAGGGAGATGCCTCAACAGGTCAGAACAACCAACTGCAGCCAAAGCTACTGTGTTTTGGTACGTAGCAGCTGGCTGTTTCTGCTGCAGGAGTCCAGGAACAGATTGTCATCAGCGACGATGAGGACTCTGGTTCCCTCGTTACAGACTGTAGAAGATGAGCAGTTAGCTCCGAACCTGAAGGCTCAGTTTAACCGGGAGTCGCTCCGCAGACATCATCATCACAGCAATCCTCCTTATCATCAGCAGAGCAAACACAAGGCTCTTGTGATGTTCGAAAAGGGACAAGGTCCTATTGTGTCAAAGAAACTGACCAGCAGGGAAATCCAGAGGTTTCTTACCAAAACCTTTGATTTTGCCACCAACTCAGAAGAGACCCAGTATCACATATGTTTACCTTACTACAGCGATGGGGAGAAGCTGAGGATTCTGCCCCACTTCCATTACTACCACATCCACTGCATCGACAAGTGGTTGAAGGACAACACCACCTGTCTGATCTGCAGGGCCAACCTGGCTGACGATGACTGTCTGTTGCCCCTTACGTCCTAACAGGAATCTGTTGGAGGTCTTAGAAAGAATTACTGATTATTTATTTATTTATTTGGACTTGAAGATTTTGAGGTTTTTATTCCTTCCATGTTTCTGTTTGCTCTGTTTTTTTTTAACAACAAATAAAATGTTTCCTTTTCTTGGGGAAAAGATCGAGCCCCACAGGTTGCCACTCTGGATCTTTGAGCCAGACCCTTAACCCCAGATTCCTCCCCAGGTGCCGCACATTAGCTGGCAGCCTCAAAAAAAAAAAAAAAAAACTAAAAAAGTTAGGAACTCCAATAAAAGATTGCTTAGGAAAAAAAAAAGTAAGCTTGAATAAAAAGATTAAAATTAGCACGTAGCACATTGAACATTATTTAAAAAAATTGGAATCATAAGCTGCATAACATGTAAAAGTTGAAATGTTTAAGGAAAGAGTGTTCAGAGCTTAAATGTGCCGATTGCTTGGCTGTAACAACTAATGGTCAGTGCTCCAGAGGCGGCATGAGCAACAGTATGAGCGGATCTTCAGTTTCTATGACTACAGTTCTATTACCGACTGACATTTTGCCGTTACAGTTTCAGGTTTTGAGTGGGTGGTTTATGCTTTTAAAGTTGTTTTATTTGCATCAACTTTCTCAAACTTGCACTAAACAGATAAAGAAAAAAGATTTACATATAAACCACATTGAGGGACAAACATGAATGACGAGTTAAAGGGAGTTTATGAATTACAAGGGTAGTTTTAATGGGCATCGCCTGTGCAGATATTCTCTTTACTCAAAATTTTCCTCTCACTGCATCTCTCTCCAAAAGGGAACCCACATTTGCTACTTTAATGTAAAGGCTCTGCTGATAAGTGTTGAGTAAAAATATTTGGACCATAAAATTAATAATGAGAATAACCCTTGGCGTAATGTGGCATAATTCAATCAAAACTGTAAATGTAGGCCGATTAATATATAATTTCACTTCAGTATTTATAGAGTAATATGCATGAATCTGCACTAAGAAACCCTGCAGTACATAGATAAAGCTGACTGTACTTTATGTTTGTTATCAGATTTCAGAGGGTTAAGGGTTGTTTTCAAAACAAAGAAGCTTTGTTTCATATCATAAATACATTATGCATTTATTATACAATAAACATGAAACTGATGAACAGATATTTTGTTTTGATCTGGGAAATTATGCATGCTGCAAATGTTGGAAAGTGAAAAAATATGCAAGAATATATTTCTCATAAGGTCATATTTATAAATACAATATTTTTACTATAATTAGACGCACAAGTAATCAAAATTTGAAAAAATAAAGTAAATTATTTACTAATGCTGAACATGCACAGCAAACATTCAAAGAAAGAGGCTCAAGAGAGATGGGATACAGGCACATCAGCCTGTTTTTTCCACGCCCTTTGACCAAATGCTCTCCATCCCTACCCCCCTTTGGAGTAAACATCAGATTTTATTCTTTTAACACTAAGTAGGATGAGGTCAGCTGACCAATAGCTGCTCTGCACAAACATGCACATGTGCTGGTCACTTCTGGCGGCCTGAGCACATCTGTTTGTGCACAAGTGATGAGGGAATGCTCAGGGTGTAGCTGTGAGGGTGAAAAGAGCATTGCTGAGGGGGAGGAGACAAGAGATGGGTGGTGGAGGAAGGGAGGAGGAAGAGCTGGCAGTGACTGTTTAACATGATCAGTGAGCAGCCATGTTCCCTTCCCCCCAGTTTCAATCCATCCTATCCACTCTTTCTAAAAGGACTAGAATGCATTCAAAACCCAGTTAGGTAATAAAAAAAAAAAAAAATAAAAAAAAATAAGAACCACTAATTGAATTTTTCATTAGCACTCTTGAAACCCTCTCTATTCTTTTCCACACCCCCTCCTGTTGTTTTCTCATCACCCATCTGTCTAGAAATTTGTTTTTTCTTTCTTTCTGCTTGTCCTTCAGCTTCTCTCTCTCTCTCTCCCTCTTCTCCTTCTCTATGTTCTGGTGAACTAACTAGAAGCTGGTAGAAAAAGCAGACAGATCCACAACATCTTGAATTCATGCTCCAATAAAAAATCAAGTATCTTTATAGGGAAAGTGTTTTTGTGTGTGTGTGTGTGTGTGTGTGTAAGAAAGAGGTCTCTTTCTTACACACACACACACACACACACAAACATACACTGGTCTAAGGGTCACTAAAAGAGTAACAAAATGTGAAAGTAATAAAACCTTAAGTGCCATTTATCACATTTTTTTAATTTGTACTTTAATCAACTTCATTTTCTTATTTTTCATATGTAAACAAATTCTTTACAGATTGCTTTTCAATTCTATTTTTCCTCCATTATCATATGTTTCACATTTTAATTTATATACTTGAACTGAGTGGGGGTCAGATTATCCTTCCAGGATTATTGAACGGTTCTGATTTGTTGGTACCTCTTTAAACAGTAGAAGTGACAGCCCTGTAGGTCTAGTAAGGCAACCAAATTCAAACTAAAATAATAATAATAAAAAAAAAACAGACGGAGTGAACAACATTTGACGGCATGAGAAGAATTTGAGGGAATAACCAAATAATAAAAAAAATAAAAATACATCAAATCAGTTCAGAAGATGTACATTCATGTCATGCATAAACGTTAATAATGGTGACAATACATTACGAAAATTTAGGCTCTGGTGACTGTAGTCTGACTTTACATTTGATCAACTTCTATAATTTTCCTCGATCTTAAACTGAAATGCCATCCATACAGTAAATATACTGTACTAATGCTGAATCAGCAGTCGGTGACTTGAAAATTAAAACATGACACTTTCTCTTTTCAAAGAGCCAGTCAGCAGACAGCATCTTACACTAAGCTGCTCTACAGCTCGACTGTTTTGGAAAGGTTCTCTCCACTCTTGCTGTTTGCATGTTCAACATATTGTATGCTGAAAATTTAAGACGCCAAACAATTACTTGTTGAGGTGGTGATATTGCTGCAAAGTTAGTAAATAAATGCCATTGGTTGAAAGGGTCTGCAACTATCTCATTCCAAAGAAATATTTTTTTCCCTCAGTCCAGCTACATAATTTTGTTTAGAGTTGCAATGTGTAATCACAGTTTATTCAAAAATTAAAATTTTAAAAACATATATTTTACAAAAAGAGGGTAGATACATTTTCTCTAAAGCACTTGCATATATTGGGAGAATTTTGCTAAACAAACAGTTCTCTTATACAAAACCCATATTTTTAATATATCTCCATTTTAAAACAATAAGTGGTACAGCTAAAATTTTCATTGACTGTATTCAACCTCTTGTTCATCAATGACCTTTTTCAGCTTTTATTTTTAGAAAAAGATTTAAGACCTGGTAAGACGTGTAACAAAACAAACAGACATTCCTGCACTGTTGTGGTTTCTAGCCCTGAATCCTAAATGAGAGCTGCATATCAACTTAATATATGTATCGACGCTTAACCTTAGAATTGTTATACTTTTTGCTTTTCTTAATTTCCTGCAGTGGGTAGATATGCTGTTTTGTAAATGACAGCTTGCGCATAGGTAGAGAAAATAAATGAATTTGATTGAGCACCATTACAACATTTCCTTACTAATGGCAGTAAGTTTTGGAGCAATTATCAAAATTCCTTTGCAAATATTAAAGCTACCATTTTGGCCCCATACACCTCAATCAAGTTCCAGATTAGTTTGTAGGCTTAGAAATCATCTGGTCACTAATTACCCTTTGTATCACAATGTTTTCGAAACACTGGTGGTGAATTGCATCCTATGCTCCACCCCCTCCCTCTAAACCCATGTTGTTTTTTTTCCTCTCCTTTTTTGCCTTTATTGGCCAACATTAATACTCACTTATATGCTTGGCCCTGCTCGACTAAAAATATCTTTAGCTGAACAGTTTGGATTGCAAACAGGCCTGACAGTTGGTAAGAGAAGTTCTGGCACACAAGCCTTGAGGTTTTGACAGCATGTGGTGTGCATGGCCAGGCAGCAAGCGCTACATAGAAAGGGCAGAAACCTGTCCATTGCCTTTATGTTCCCATGTGTACCATCTGTCTATATATGTTGTTTGTGCCTATAATAATTGTTCATTATTTCATCAGAAACACTGAAAAGGATAAGTGAATGACTCTGTCCATGGTGCTGAAGTCCATCTATCTATCTATCTATCTATCTATCTATCTATCTATCTATCTATCTATCTATCTATCTATCTATCTATCTATCTATCTATCTATCTATCTATCTATCTATCTATCTATCTATCTATCTATCTATCTATCTATCTATCTATCTATCTATCTATCTATCTATCTATCTATCTATCTATCTATCTCAGCATGCATTGAGTGTTACCTTCAGAGATAAGATGAAATCCTTGGGTCACATCCAGGGCTGTTCTCAGTCCTAGTTGACTTCAGTCACTAAGTCACTCAAATATTGAAAAATCAAACTGGAAGAAAAGAGAAAAGGAGAAAATATTTGTCTTTCCTTTTGGGAAGGTTAAAACTCAGAACTGGAAGCAAACATAGCCCCAAACCGGGCCCAGTCATCTATCAGTGTGTTAGAATGAAAAATATAATACAAAAATCAAAAATAGTCACAAGATACAAAGGTCCAAGCTTATTTCTTTAGTATTTTCCAGTAGATCAGTTTCTCTCACACTCACTGAAGATGTACAACATTCTTCTTTTGCTTAATTCCACACTAGCAGGGATGATAAAAAAAAAAAGAGAGACAAAAAGGCTCCAAATCTAAAGTCGACTGATCGTTTTCCGGTAATAACGACTTTATATCTGACAGATGTGTTCAGCAGCGTATAGGGTCCATCCACCGCTCTGCTGGAGTTGTTGAAATTGTGCAGAGTGATCTACAGGAAAATAAAACACTCCTACGCAAACATCCTCATGTTCAGCAGCACAAGCAGCCTGGGCAACATGTGCGCTGGAGAATCAGCATGGGGAAATGGGAGAAATTTCGCCATTTCTTTCAAAACCACCACTTTCGCGCAGCGTCCTGGAAGGTCGAGGTCAGATTTTTTGTCTTAGCGTCGCTCCAGGTTCTGCCTCTAACCCGACCGGCTGACATCCAGCTTTCCTTTCTTTATAAATCTCCTCCGATCCCCTCGCAGCCTCTTGCAATGGTATTGCATGTAAACTGCCCGGCTTGTTAATGCTTTTGTTGTGGAAAAGCATGCGCAGGAAGATGGATAGTTCCACGGCTGCTTTTATTAGCAGCTTTGCTGTTATTTCCGCGTTGGCCAATTAATTACCGATTCCTTCAGAGTGACGTCCGATTCTGCTTGGATACGAAAAAAAAACGCTGCGCTTTAAATCCAATGGAGGTTGGCCACAGTGCCTGCGCGAAAAGTCAGAGTAGTGAGTGCAGCCAATGGTGCTCACTGCCTGAGCTGCGGATTCTGAAGAGAAATGTAGAGTTGCGTGCAGAAATTCAAAATCTATAGCTTGCCACTTCAACTTTTTCACCTTTTGTAACGGTGCACTTAATTACATTTCAGTGGGGTTTTATAAAGTAGACCAACTGGCTACTTCTTACTTATGAAATTGAAAGAAACTGTCTTTTCTCTTTTTTTATATTGTGATATTTCTTCATCAATACTGTAAATAGAGCAATCATGTGTAATTTAACTACTACTACTATTAATCCACCTTTTCCTGAATGCCTAAGTGAACAACTGGTTAAAAATCATAAAGAGTAGGGAACATACCAGACAATTCAGGGTTATGCATGTGGAGATGTGATGAGAAAAGATGAGAAAAGGTTAGCCTACGAAAAAAATAACACAATCTTTAAATAAAGAAAGCAGTAATCAGAGAAGTCTAAAAAGTGTTCATAATATTCTGAAACCAAAACTATGCCACTTAAGTTCTGTAGGGAACATATTTACTGACAAAGAAGGGATCTCATCTTAAGTACCCTAGACATTAATCCATAGGCATAGTTGATACAGTTTTGCCCTAATTTCTGCTCTGACGTAGTTTTTCTTTCCGTAAATGGCATGATTTACAGGCTGTATAACACATGAAAGGATTAAGCAATTATAAAATTAGTTGATAATTTCAATAATCGATCATGTGTGATTAATCTAACTAAGTGTTTCAGCCTTAGTTGCATGGTGTGGTTGAAAAAATATAGCCTTTATGCTATAGTTTCCAGAAAAGCTATTGAAGTAAGTACATTTTCACAAAGTGAGGACATTTTGACTGGTCCTCAAACAGTTTAGAAATACGGTGTCAAGTTTGTTAGGGTTATACTGAGGTATATACCTGTATACCTGAATTGTATACACTGGTAATGGTTAGGTTAAGGGTTTTATTTTTAGGGTTAGGGCATACAAAGGGTTGAAAAGGAGGAGTCAGCACATGGTCACTACAATCACTACATATAGCAATAAGAGGGTGGGTGTGTGTATTTCACTTCCCATTCTAAAATACTTTTCATGTGTTTTTTTGTTTGTTTTTCTTCAAAAAGTTGTGCATTTTAATATCTTGTCTTACAATGCACCTGGAGTACACTTTTACTTCATAATGTTCTCATTTGTATCAATAATTTTTCTTTATAAAATCATCTCCAGAGGTTCTAAAGGAACTCCTAGGTCAAAAATGACATTTTTAAATACATTTGTTGATCTTATTTAGGTCATTTGTTTTGATGCTGTTACACAAGTAGATGGTTGCAGAAGAGACAGACACTACAGACCTATAGAAGATATGCAGCATGTTGCTGCAAACTTGAGGGGCTAAAGTTTCTTTAAGTACAGTCTGCTCTTTCTCATCTTTTAGACAGCTTCATTGTTGCGTTCCATTCGAGTCTGTTGTCTAGGTGAAAAGCAGGGTATTTATACTCCTCTACCACCTCCACCTCTTCCCCCATAATATCATTTGACTTGTCCTGTTATTCTTTAAATCTACAATCATCTCCCTTGTTTAGTTCATGTTTAGGATCAGATAATTTCAACACCATGCCACAAAAATTTTCACCAGCTCTGTGTACTCAGTTTCTTGTCCATCTCTGATGCACCCAACAACTGCAAAGTCATCTGAGTAATTTATCAGATGACAGCAGTCTGTACCGTATTGGAAGTCGGAGGTGCCCCTGTGCCGCTGACTAATTAGTTAGACACTAGACAGACCATAGTCTATAGCCTCCAAACAACCTTCCAGGGTTTCTTTATCTTGCAGTGACTACCTTACAGCTCTCTTTAATATAGACTAGGGGCTTATACTCTGAGTGATGAAAAACAAGACTGTTATTAAATTTTCCAAAAAGAGATCCTACGTAAGAGATGTATGAGTCCTTCGCATAGAACAAGTCCAAAGTTATGTTTTCTGCAGGAGAGCAGCTGAAAAACTGCTGGAATATTGGCAGTGTAGCAGAGTGAGGCGTGGTTAAAATCATCAGTTATTACCACAAATGCATTTGGTTGTTGAGTCTGTATATTCGCAGCAACAGAACTGATAACATCGTACACAGTTTAGACAACAGCAGATGTTGGAATGTAAACAGTTGCCAAAACAAGACTGGTGAACTCTCAGGGTAAATATGGTTGAAAACTAACGGACAGCAGTTCAGTATCAGTAACACTGAAATGTACTGGATGACATCGTCTTTTGTTCACAAGAACTGTTCAGCACCTCCCTTGAGTTTTCCAGCTTTCTTTAAATCATTGTCTGCTCATATGGTCAGAAAGCCTGGCTGAGAGAGCCATGAGGAGCCATGGATGAAAAAAACACGTACTGTGGTCATGCATCTTAACAACAAGTACTTCCACCTATCTATGACCCAGTTCAAAACCCTGCTGTCTCGCACTGGAGGACAAATAACCCAGACAACAGAGGTAAGAGAGACCTTGTTCTGGAGCTCAGACAGGAGCAGTAAGAAATAAGTGTGAGAACACCAGTAGAGAGAGCACCAAAACCAGGACAGGGCAGCTAGCGATGTCCCCTTTTGGAGCTAAGATTCTACAGGAGGAGATTGGAGAAGCCCACTGGGCAGACAGCAATCGAGAGCAGGGAAGACGTGAAAGCTTTCCGCTGCTAGCTTAGGAGGTGAGTGGAAGAGCACCGATGTATATTAGAGAGCCTGCTGGGTCAGACAGAGAGATGAACACAAGGGAGAGGCTGTGACTGGCAGGTGCTAGCTATAGAGTTTAACTATCGAGCCCACTGATTAGACTGATCACTGAAGTCAGTGGTTAGTTGGTGTCTGCACTGGAGGTAGGACAACAAAACAGTCCTTATAGGGCAATATCAAAACAGATTTTTTAAAAGATATTTTAAAAACACTACGCACAAACCTCTTAAGCAGCCAAATCTGTTGCAAATCTCCAGAGCCCCCCTCTACAAAGGAATGGAACATGGAAATTCTTTATTCTTGCTGCAGAATTCGTGTTTGGTGTAAAAATACCTTAAATTCACAATAAATGAAAAAATGAATGTGCACACTTTACACAATTTACTGTCATAAATGTAAGATTGAATATGTATAATACATTAACCAACCATGATAAACTTGGAATGTTCGAACTGTTTGAATTGCTAAAAATGTTTAAGGAGCAGGGGTTGGAATTATCTTTCTCTCCACCAGAGAGAGCCATATATGGTTTAGCTAAGACTTGACCAGTATATTGTGCGCACCTGCATCTGCACCTAATCTGGGCTCATAACTCCAGGAGTCAGAGGAGATAATTGCCTGTCATTCGACACCTGGTTGTGCTACCAACATGGTACCCAAAGCTGCTCCCCTTACTATCAATTGTATGCTCTGAACCTCTTTGTCATCAATTTGCCTGGACTAATCTTGTGAAATTCTGTTACCTGGATCTCTCCTTGACTACTTTGGGCCTGGACATTCTGTAATCCCTGACACCTTCTGTAATCTCAGCTCCCTCTCAGTTGGAGCATTGAGACTCTCCCACAGATGGCAATAATATCTCCTCTTGTCTCCTTGCTAGTCTGCAAAGACTGTCCAACACTCCAACGACAAGCACTCTCGCTGAACTTTGTACAAACTGGTCCCAAATTATTCTGCGTCTCCCCCAGACCCATAGGTTATTTTTATCTTCAAAAAGTCCTCCATCCACTAAACGTTCCCTGCATCAAAGCCATAATTCACTTTTTCCCTGCATCTATTTCAGTGGCTCTGTCTCCTCATGTGTCTCTCCGAGTTTCCCCAGGACGAAATTCAATCACATTGTGGTTTTGCAATAAACCCTCTAACATTCAATCTTCCTCCTGAGAGTCTCGGCATTTGGGTCAGGTCCTTCACTAAACCATGACATTGAATGTACTATATATTTGGTCAACTCTAATGCACACACAGTCTAATACAAGATCAAATATAAATATATATGTACATACATACATATATATATATATATATATATATATATATATATATATATATATATATATATATATATATATATATATATATATATATATATATATATATATATATATATATATATATGTACAGCCTCTTATGGGTAGTTACATGTTCCTTATGGATTCATATGCTTTTGTAAGTTTCAGCAAGCTTAATAATGATAAAAAAAATCAAATAACAGCAAAGGATAAAAATGATAACAATGACATCTATTTCCTGTTTGAGGTTGCGAGCAATCCATAAATTTAATCTGTCTGCTCTATCCAATCAGAAGTTATTTTGGATATGTGTTTTGGATCGTGGCATAGTTGCATCTACAAAAGGGCATTAATTCAAATGAATTTTTCAGTAAAATTAAACTTGTGCAGTGGATTCACATTTTCAAATGAGTTAAAAAAACAAAAGTTCAAATCAGTTTTTAGTCAGATATTGGAATTAATGCTGTGCTTACAATAAGTATATGTAAACCTTTGCCCAGCACCTGCCTCTGTCAAATAAAGACCATAAAACTGAAAGTGTTTGTCCCTCTAATGGGAAACCAGCAAACTCATTTTGCTTTTTTTAACCTACGTACAAGTTTTAGATTGCGAGATGACTAATCTTCACACTTAGCCACAATCACCCAATAATTCTCCTTACAACTGAATTCAGGATAGTCAGAACCATTGATTACAAGAATTACACCTGTCATAAGAAGGTTCAGCCAAGTTACAATGACAAACTGTTCTGTTTTTAACAATAAAACCCTAATCAAGCTACATTGAAATGAAGGACCTACTTTTCCCTTGAAGGATTTCTCTCCCTGTGTACCATCTGAATCACTTGTCATTTCACTCACTTTGCCTCCAGACTGTCTTGTACAGTTTCTTTATATTATACCAAATATTATTCTTCAAACATCTTTCTGCTGTAGACTCTTTCTCTCCTTTTCATTTAGCCCTCTCCTTCAAAAACCCTTTACTCATCTTT